GCAGAAACACAATCGCGAGTGTTGCGTGTTGCGTTTTAACTTCTGCAGGCGCTCCGCCATGGCACGGCGAGCCGGATTCGCAGGACCATAAATCTTTGTTCAAGCCACCCGCGACATTTTTCTCTGTAATCAGTTCGGCTCTCGCATCTGTCTCTCTGCCCCGTGACTCATGCTCAACGGGGGAATTAAAGATAACGCACGAAGTTCAAGGTCACCGAAGATATACAAGAGGAAATTCATAGGCATGTATAGGGAGGATTTATACACGATCACTAGAACGACGATTTGTGGATGTCGCAGCCGACGATATTCTACATCATTCCTTCGCATAGATTTACGGAATGAATTGAAGAGCATCATGCAAATAAGGGCCAATTTTTCACCTTACATCTATGAAACGACATATCTACCGTCAATTTTCCGGGGGAAATAGGCGCTTTTATAAACGAGGTAGAAAAGTTTGTTTCTGTCGCGTGATGCCGCTTAGTTCAAAGCGACGATTCTTATTTACACATTTGAACCAGTTCAGGCAAGTTTTCACCATTTGCGGATCCACCAAATTGGCGGCACCGTTTTTTTTATATTTAAACCCATGAGGATGTATTGATTCTTGGTGGGGCCAAATGCTTCGACAGGAATCGATATTTGACGCAGCTTCAAATGGAGGAAAGTCATTGTTGCCAAATTGCAGGATCCGCCACTGGGTTTTACGATTAAGCTGTAAGAAATGAGCGTATACTTAATTCAGCGATGGCCAAAGCGCAAAACCGCGTATCTCTTTCGCGATTTTCCAAAATTTCCGCTAGTGATTTATTTTTTCGGAGAAAACAATCCCAATTTTCAGCTACTTTATACAGAAAATTCCGTCACCGGAGAATAAAAATGTAGGGAGTTATCAAGAAAATACGGTGGCTAGCTCTTCGAAAAAAAAGTAAAGTATGGCAGGGAGTCTGCCACGTCGCAAACGGAGATATGCGGTTTCGCACATTGGCCATCGATTTAAAAAAGTGAAGATCGCAGATTTCGATCCTTGGTGCCTCAATTGGCCTCACGCACACTCTTGAGCCTCAATTAGGTAAACATACTGACACACCAACTCTTATCAGATTAGCGTGAAGAGCCACTTTTCACGTACGAGATGAATAAACCCTCAGAGTTAATTTTTAGCTATGAGCATTACACCGCGACTCAAGTGGGGGCCACCCTCCTCCCACCACTCTCCCCCTTCCTAGCGTCTAGACACGAAATTTCGCCCGAATAAAAAGTCAACAGTCTCGGTCTAGACAAAATTACGAGCGATACAAACTCAACGTCATACGTGCCTTGTTTTTAACGCAAGATACCGTTGCCCGGCTGACAGAAGGGCGTAACTGCGCAGTGAGATGAGCCGTGAACATCGTTGAACCGTATGAATGACAGGGTTTATTGCATATTGTAGTTATGCCCTCATTCAAGCAAAGCGACGATATGATGCAATATCGCCGCGGTTACAATCTAGTGTAGGCAGTTATCAATATTGGGGTGTCATTGACCATGGAAAATAAGTAGTACCGCACAAGTACTTACATGTCGACCGAGCATTGAACGAAGCTTACGCTCATACTATCAATAGAGCTGTTATTGGTGATGATAAGTGCTATCTTATTGCTGAGAATAAAATAACTAATGAACTGAGTTCACAATGTATCTTAACACCTTGTTTCTAAAGTGAGAAAGCATCGAGAAAGCTCCGTGAAAAAGATGGATGGCCAGAGTGCGGAACCACGCCACGTACCTTCTCTGCGTTGTTTCAAAATTTCCGCTACTATTTTATTTTTCAAAAAGGAAAAAGCCAACTTTGTAGCTCGAAATTTATACAAAATATTTTGCTGGTAGGGAAAAAAATCAAGGAATTTTCAGGAGATTAGTTTGGCTATAAGTTATCTAAAGACAAATTGGACTACATTTTGCATTTTGGAACTATAAATCCTAGCCCGGTTTAAAAACAACGTATGTGCCATTCGTGCCCCTAAGGACATGAGTGTTTTTCCAGAAGAGCCAAAATTTATAGTTCCAAATTGCAAAATCCAGTCCAATTGAAGTATACCTGACAGAAGTAGGGGCGTGCGCTCCCTCACCCCCCCCCTCCTTCCTTGGATCCCCCTAATCCTGTGTCATAAATTAGTTTTCTCTGTAATTTCAACGTCAGAATGCGTCTAAAGAGAATCAGAGCCACCAAGGTCAGTAATCGAGTGGGAACAGAAAGAACGGAGACAAAATCTGTGTTGATAATGTTGGAAAGTCTCCAAGAAATCTGCCGCCTGGGGGCATCACCGGCCGGCTGGACTGGGCCGAGTCCCATCCAATACTGGTTTTCAATGCAAGCTCTCGCTGCTCACGAAACATCACCCTCCACGTAACTACGCTGGGCCATGAACCCTGTCGGCTATATTGCTTAATGGTGTCCGTGGCTCATCTCTGAAAGCAGTCACGTCCTTATGTCGGGCAAGCGACGAAAACAAACCTCTCGATGATCCGTGCAGACAAAACTAACCGCAGTGACGATCCAGCTTGCTCGTTTGTGCGACACGTTTCAGTGAAAAGTTCCCCGAAACTCGGTCATTTCGATAGACAACATAATCCTGCAGCATGTCCGGGAAAGAGGTGGTAAGCAGAAAAAATATTTTTCCTCTGAACGAAACTCTGGCCCGCATAATCCACATGATTAGGGCAAGTAGCGATAAACACGATGGATAAGTTTATAATATAACTTTCCTGGAAACGGTGTCCGCGATGGAACTATAGGATCACGTATTTCGAGTTGAGTGTTTTATTATTTTCGGTCCTACTTTATTTTTGAGTAAATATTTTGTTAATAGTCTGTGAAGCGTATTTTGCGTGATATATAACAATTAAACTAAGGATAAAACAAACCAAAAGTCCAATTTTTTTATTCATTTATTGTAATTTATTGTATGCATTTCAGGTTCAAACTTGCATTACGTGACCCTTCACCCAATGACGTATGTTATACAGTGAATTTTTATGGTTTATTGTTAACCATGCTATGTGATACTTACCTTCGTTGTTTCATGTTTTGATTTATTTCATTTTATTACATCGCTGAAGATGGGTTTAAACCTGAAATGTGTGTGCTATGAATTACCATAGTATGTTAATTTGAATTTTAAAAAATGCGTGTTTTGGTTGATTTTATCCTTATTTGTTTTAATTGTTGAAATATTTTTTACGAAATTTTTAGAGAATGTTCTTAACAGGGCGTGGAAAACTGAGACAACAGTGAGAGTAGTAACAACGATCCCTCAAACAATTTGAATACGACGGGAGATATGATAAACCGAGATTCGTAATTTTGTGGTTACGAGTTCAAACAGATGAAGGCTTGAAATTGAGTGTCTTGCCTTTGTGATGTAACATTTATTAACAATAAACTCTCGCCCTCCCGTTTCCACAGAACTCGGCAGACAGTCTACCAAATTCACAGAATCCCAACCCAATTGGTAGCACATGGCAACAATCATACCCACCGGATGCCACGAGGAATAAAAATTAATTATTCGCCCTGAGAACTTTTTTGGGTAATATTCCGCACTGACAATAGCAACAACGACGGAGTAAATCGAATTAAGCGTCTCAATTTAAAGCTGCAAAAATAATTACGCAACATAGTTTCGAAGCCACTCTTTCGCAAATATCTGTAAAAGCTTCATGGAAACAATCGTGGGCGATGTGACGGATCGAAGTTAAGGAAAAGTATCGAGAGGTGCAGCAATCGAGTCGTCTGTTTTAATTCCAAGCATCAAGATTGCCAGAATGCGCGATAAAATGGTGGTATTTTACATGAGGTTATATAGGAGTAAAAAAAGATTTTTAGCACTTTCTGGCAACAATGCCAAGCATGCCCACTTTGAACGTCCGCCCCCACTGAAGCCCTTGACTACAAATAGGAGCTTTCATATTATTTATTTTATTTTTTAGTCACGTTGAATTACAGTTGGAGGGGGATCCCTACCTATAAATATTAACCTTTTGAAAGACGGTCCTTGACGGTTCATCTGTTAAATTACTTACAAAGATAAAATTGCTCTAGCTTGATTAATTTTATTTTTCTTCTTTTTCTGCGCCCTTAAACTCTTAATTAATATTGAATTTAGTGAGTGCTCTGTGTCATATAGCTCTGTACAGTCTTGAATTTTTTAGGACGATTCTTACTCTGAGAGTAATTTCTAAAACCTTAAATACAAATGTTCACGAAAAACATGAGTTCTTTGACTAATTATAGTTTGGACAAGGAGAGGGTGTATACCACCATGTGTTGATTTTCAAAATAAAGAGAACATGTTTATACACTTTATAGCAAGCCATATGAGACTGTGTAAGGAAGAACATCATATGACCATTCATATGTTGTAAAAAGTCCCTTTAAAAAACATCTGATTTTGAGAAAAGTCATGTGTATTTCTCGTTTCTAGATACACTATAGATTATATTAAAAGTAAAATTCTCATGAAATATCAAAATATTCACAAGATTTCCAACTAACCCATATTTTCAGGAGAGAAATTTGTCAACGATTGAATGTTCATAACGCGTTTTTCCTCAACACGGCAGATTATAGCCTTGTCATTTTTCACAGCCAGTTTTTCCTCACATCCTCACATCCTCCATATTGATCATAAAGTGCTAATGGGAAATACCTACCTACTTTTTCACGACATGTTAAGCTCTTTTTGAAGAGGGCAGCATAAGGGGCAGTAGACGGAACACTAGCGCTCCTAGCACGATAATATAATTCAACAACCGGTGCAGTGCACCTTCCTGATGATCCCATGCTGTACTGTTCTAATGATAGACCCCGCAGTTGCCAAATCCTTAATTTCAAAAACATAAAAGCATTGTTTAAGACGAAAAATTGGAATTTTTAACTAAACTTGGCATGGTGTTTGATAATGAATGCAACACGTGGATCGTCGCGCGCTCAGTTACTCCGCTGCACCGGCCGGCTCTGGACTGAGACCCCGTGGTGATGTTTATTTGCTTAAAGTAGTTTAACCCACTTCAATGAATTAAAACATTTACGTCTCAAGTTGTCCATGCTCGGTTACATCTTGCATTCAGAACAGTTTATGGTGCGATGAAGTTATGGTGTGTAGAGTAGAAAGTGACAAAACTTTTAACTGCGGGGTAGCGATCACCGGGAAAGAAAAAAAACACATTGGATCTAGCGTCCAGACTCTTGAAAACATTGACAAGAAAAAGGACTTTTGATTCAATCAGATTTAAGCTTAAATCAAAAGGAAATCCGCTCAAATTAAGAGGCTTGGTTCTTGATTTAAGCTTAAATCTGATTGAATCAAGAGTGTTTTTTCTTGTCGATGTTTTTATGAGTCTGGACTCTAGATCCAATTTGTTTTTTTTTTTTCAAGTGATATTTAAAATTTTAGTGAAAAAAGCGAGGAGATTTCCTCACATTTGGTGCATTTCTAAGTCATTTGGATGAAAAAGCCGTTATGGATGAAAGAATATATACAACACGCCTCTGTGTACAATGGACCGCGTTTAGCAGAAAGAAACCAAGCCACATCGGCTATTGCCAAAAACTTGGCAATTTAATTTCTTACAAAAGCACGCTTCTGCTGATTCCTTTGAAAATTTTAAGGAATTGTCTTCGTACTATGCAGGAAATTCAATGAATTTTGCACAAAAATAAGTACAACCGTGTTTTTGTGTAAAAAATTAAATTGCCCAATTAAAGTTGGCAATAGCTGATATTGCTTGGTTCCTTTCTGCTTAACGCGGTCCAAATTCTGATCAAACTCATTGATTGTCCTTCCTGAGATTATTTTGATGACGAAGTCTTTTTGGTGGCAAAAATTAAGATCGGCATGTTTTACGTGTAACATTGTTATTTTAAAATGTATGACTTTTAATATACTTTTTTATGATTTTTTTCCTTCATGGTTTTCTTGCTTATTTTAAGGCTACTCTGTATTCATATTGGAGAAGTTCCTGCTCTTACAGGGTTCGAATTGGTAAGTACAATGATTTTAACCAGTTACGCTTGTCTTTGTAAATAAATCGCCACTGGAAATATTTCTCTTGAATCCAGGGTCCAGGCTCTTAAAAATTTGACAAGCAAAAATACTCTTGATTCAATCGGATTTTTGCTTGAGTCGCGAGCCAAGCCTCTTGATTTAAGTGGACTTTTTTTTTATTCGAGCAAAAATCCGATTGAATCAAGAGTGTTTTTTCTTGCCAAATTTTCAAGAGCTTGTATCCTGGATTCAAGAGACGTTTTTTCCAGTACCTTCTAAAATAATTGAATGAGTTTGGTGAAACAAGAAAACCGTATCTTTCAGTTTTCGTTGCTTCACTCTTCCTATTACATTTGATTTTCAAGGAATAAAGCTACCATTTTGTTCATTCCCGATATATTTCCAAAAAATATTATATCAATACACCTACAGTCCATTTCCTGGAAAACAATAATGGGAAAGGATCAAATAACTTTGCATAAATTTTGACAGTAGGGTTTTCCTTTCAGAAATTAAAGCATTATCGGAGACTTTTAAGAGTTGTAATTAAGATGTGAAATGTGCATCTTTCAACTTTAGCCAACGGTATGATTCAATAACCTCCGACGATTTCTCTGCCCGATAGCCCTGAGCCTCAAAGGGATTCCGTACGAGGTGAAACCGGTCAACATTTGGAAGAAAGATGAGCATCTGACCCCGGAATATCGTGCGATAAATCCCATGCAACAAGTGCCTGCTCTCCGGATAGACGGTCGCACGTTGATCGACTCCGTAAGTCATTAATCCATTCCGTAAGTCGCCAAGCACAAAATGATGAGAGGAGTTCCTCTGTGGAAAAAAGATTTGCCATTTAGCTCTTAGTCCCTGCGTTAAGTTGTGCCCTGGACCCGAAAGAGACACGATGATTTTGCCTGTTTCATTTATAAAGAAATATGAGAGTCTATGGAAAAAATACCTTAATGCATACTAGTTAATTTCCCAAATTGAGTTTCTTTCAGTCGTAATCGAACCGCGTTTAACAGAAAGCAACCAAGCCACATCATCTATCGCTTTTAACTCAGCAATTTAATGCTTCACAAGAGCACGCTGGTGCGGATTTTTTTGGAAATTTTAAGGAATTTGCCTCATACTATGCAGAAAATTCAATGCAATTTGAAAAAAAAATTGAAAAACCGTTTTTATGTAAAAAATTAAATGGTCCGATTAAATTTGGCAATAGCTGATGTCGCTTGGTCCTTTCTACTTACCGCAGTTCATTTAAAGTTTTCGACGGGAAATACTCTAGAATCCCATTGCACGCGGTCAATTGTTTTGGATGTATAATGATTCTATTCTCGAGCATCTGGGCATTTTCTCATTTTTGGGCGTAAATAGAGCGGCTGTAAAATGTAGTTTTGATCGAAGAATGTTTCTATAATGAACTGAAATTTTGAAGAGATATTTTTCAAAACTACCTTTATTGAATGACAAACTTCGAACGGTGAATTCCTCTTGGTTTGACATTTTTGAGCGTTTTTCATGCAGAGATGTTTGTAGAGCAGTTGGCAAAGCAGCTGTGCCAGTAGCTAAATTTGTTATTTTTGGCATTTAGTTTTTTAGGAATTTTCACTATAAACAATTTTTTAATTTTTTAGAAAAGTGCTCTCAATTAATGGGAAATAGCAAAATCAAACAGCTTTCTTCAGAATCAAATGCGTCTCATAAATACACACTGAATCAGGTTGAGCTAGCTCGCTTTTTCTCCCTGTTGACAGATTTCTTTCCCGGTTGAATATCATACACGCCCATTTCTTTCCTTTTGCAGATCAGTATCATGCACTATTTAGAGGAAACAAGACCAGAGCAACCACTTTTGCCTTCAGATCCCGCAGATAGAGCAAAGGTATACTTGCAAATCGCTGGAATTCATAGTATCATTGTAACGCCCATTTAGCAGATCCAAAAAATAGAAATAAAAAATAATCGTCAAAGCGAATATGTTAAAATCACAACTCACCAGTTTATTACCAAAAGAAGAGGATAAATAAGACCATTCATGAAACTCACCTGCAACAAAAAAATAGCACATTAGGGTTGTATTCATAATACAATGGAAATCGAATAGAATGGCCTTGAAGTGATCGGCCTTTTACGGTCGTTATAACCGATACTCGTTATAACAGATAGTTGGAGTTTTACGCATTCACCTTAAATCGAATAGCAATGAGTAAAGCTGGTGCTGGCACTAGGGTATGAAGACGAGGTTTCTTTATTTGTTGGAGAGGAATCACCACTATTTTCAACACTACATTTTTATTTTTTATTTTATTTGTGTGCACTCTGGTGTACGTCACACGCGGTGTACACTGGTTAGAAACCGCGGGCGGTAGGTCAACACCAAAAAAATTACGAACATTCAACGATGAAGCGCGCACCTTCATGTAAGCGCAATGCGTGAAGTATTCCTCCACTCTTGTAGGCGTTAGTATGCGTTTCAAGCCGACCGAGCCGATCGTACTAAGTTTGGCGCAATGCGTGAAGTATTTACGCAGTCTTGCAGGGGCTAATATGCGTCTCAAGACGATCAAGCCGACCTTATTGTGTTTGACGCAATGCGTGAAGTAGTCACACGGTCTTGCAGGCGCTAATATGCTGGCGCATCTTTAACAGGCCGCTGGTTGTGACGATTATCCTTTTATTCCACGTCGACACAATTTTCTCCACAAAAAGCCCATCGTTCCATCAAGAAATTGTTGAAGGTTTCATCAAAAAATTCCTGGTTAACAACGTTTTTCAGATTTTTCGGTGGTTGGTTAAACATTTTTCTGCCTTTATAAACGAATATATCATCAGAATTCAGAGCGATCGTAACATCGGGAGCCAAAGTCGAGGTATTTCGGATTAGATCGCGAAATTGCTCTCTCCTTCTTACAAAGAGGAAAATTCGCGCTAGTTTTCACCCGCAAGTGCAACCACCGGAAAGCCAGGTTTCGAATTCATTCACAAAACGGAACAAACAATAATATTTCCCACACCCCGCGTTATCCTCACAAGACGTCGTGGGATGTGCGAGCAATCCTGCAAAATGGGCTCTCGAGGCTGCCAAATTCCTCCCGACAATATTTTTAATTCCGATGTTGGTCATGAGTACTTTCTCTTCAAATTTTTAAACGCATCACGTTAAGGTCCGAATAAAATTTGGTGAAAATTTCAAGAGAAAACTCGCACAAGTTCTCTAAAAAATTCACATTGTATCGAAATACATCTGGCAAAGTTTGAATGTTCATAGGGTGTTTTTCCTCATCTCGGCAGAATACAAACACTCTGAAAAATGAACTGAAATTCGATCTACCGACGACCAGGGGCTGTTATGCTTTGAGCTTTAGACACACCTACCGTGTTTGCAGTGTTCGATGACTGCAAAGCGTTGAAGCGATGAATGCGACGTAAGGGCGCACCGTGATTTCCACGACAGCCCTGGTCTCCGTATAACCGTATGCTTTCTGGGGCTCATGAATAAATAGACAAAAGCCTTTTTGTTAGAGGAGCGATGAATGGTGAAAACGTTCCCGAAGCGAATCGCTCGCGCGGAAATGCAGCTGCAAAAAGCTACGGAAAAGAATATTAACTCCATTTCGAACTTGAGCCATGGTTAGAACGTCCTCTTATGCGCTTCGAAGCTCACTTCAAGCTCGAGCTACCGTGATAAAGCAGAGATACGGCTTTGAAAAAACACGTATGTGCATCATGGCAAAGGGTGCGATTAGCACGTGTTCTTATGCGCTTTGGGGGTCATTCCGAATGTGATATGCGGCTCTCTGTGAGGTACGGCAGAGAGGCATTACGCGATGTTAATTTAATAGTGATATTCGCTCGAGCGCACGGGGCGAGCGAAATTTTAACACATTGATCGAACAAATATTTGAAAAAGAAAATATGCCGTGGAAACCTCGTTAACCTTGATGAAACGCGCTATTAACGGGCCCCGGTGGTTAAATCACTCGATGCAGTATCGGCTTCGGATAGATTTTTGCGGTATTCTCCCGCGCTACCGGAAAACACCCTATGGACGTTTTAATGTTGCTAAACTTCTTTTGATTACACTGGAAAAAAAAAACACATTGCATCTAGAGTCCAGACTCTGGAAAACATTGACAAGGAAAAGAACTCTTGATTCAATCAGATTTAAGCTTAAATCAGAAGGAAGTTCGCTCAAATTAAGAGGCTTGGTTCTTGATTTAAGCTTATATCTGATTGAATCAAAAGTATTTTTTCTCGTCGATGTTTTTCAGATTCTGGACTCTGGATCCAATGTGTTCTTTTTTTCCCAGTGTAAATTCGTATTTGTTAAAACATAGATAAATGTACACTATGGCAGCCCGAGAACACAGATAAAATAGGACTATGGAAAAGGAGGGAACGAGGCTGAAAAATACAATAACTTACAAAACACGGGACATCTCGACCGACCTTCCGGTCATTATCAACCGTCGAAAAAGAAAAAAATTAAAAAATCTAAAAAAAACAGAAGCTAAAAAACAATGCTACTGGTCCCTGGTCCCTTTGTTATAACACACGTGGACTTTTCATTTTGGATTTTTTGGGGAATATTTGCTCGCAATTTGGACAGATTTTACCAAGCCACATTAAATGAGTGAATCACTAAGCCCTGAAAAAATTTTGGCTTGTGAATATATTATACTAAAATAACACGAAGCGCACATTAAAAACGCCAAAAATCAATTCAGAGACCAAGAAAAATACGGTTCAAAGAGCACAAGTTCAGCTTCGAAGTCTTCGTGGGTGCGAAGCTTTAGAACCGCTACATAGATTGTAACATGTTTCATTCAAAAATCACTTCCATTTATCAAAAAAATCATAGAAATTAAAATTTTCGTGCCTGTCTAATCGATTACATCAAATAGAGGGTAATTTTCCCTTGACAAAATACAGTTCCTAGATTACTGAAGATTTTGGAATATGTATTCAAATAAACGATTTTTCCCCAGGTTCGTGAAATAGTTAGTGTAATTGCAAGCGGTATTCAGCCATTACAAAACGTTGGAATCCTTCAACTTTTACCCGAGGAAGAAAGAGTGCAGTGGGCTCAAAGAGTCATTAATAAAGGTTTTACAGGTAACATACAATCCTCTTGTTCCTTACATTCCTTCTCCTTCCTTTTATACGATTACAAAACGCAGTCACCTCCGCCGTCTATCTGTTGGACTTCATTTTGTAATAAAGAACTACAATTTTCGGTTCGTATGTAAAAACACTTATGTGCAAAGGGAAACTAATGGTTCATACGTTGTTTCTAATCAGAACCAGAATTTACAGTTCCTAATTACGAAATATAGTCCAACTGAGCGTGAATGTGTGACGTGATCCGAAAGATAAAAGGAGATTCACTTACAAACATATGGCTGTGTTGGAAAAACTCAGTAGCGCCTTCAATTCTAAATACACGCAATATGGGTATCCTTTGAGCTCGAATAGTTGTATCGGGGCGTTATCATCAAGGTTAGGCTGGAATCGCTGATGAGGGGCACTTTCCCTATCATCAAACTTAAATGCGAGGTAAAGGATTTCTTCATCTTCTTCTTCTGCTACTACTACTGCTCCTTAATTATTCAGAAGAGACTGTGAAAGCGCATCAAAAAAAATTTTCAGGCGGATCCTGATAGGAGCAAGATAGAACAAAGTATAACAGAGTAAAGCCACGTTTTGGAAAGAATGATTGATAGTAATTCGAACTCATCACTCCTATTAAAATCCTAAATGGAAATAAAATATGAGGGGTGTAAAAGCATGAGTAAATATTTTCCATAGCACGTATTCTTCTTTTCTTGGGGGGTGGGGGGAGGGGAGGGTACAAATCTGCTTTTCTCAATTCCAATTTGATTAGGCTTGGTTTCTTCTTGCGGAACCTAGGACAATTAATACTTTCTCAGTGTTGGAGCAGGCGAAATCACAAAAGTTGCCAATAGATGAACCATTTGTCCCGTAATAAGGGAACACCGCCGTGGTCTTTTATTAAATGTCTCACCGCTTGCCTTTTTGCGCTCTGCTCCACATGAAATACAACTTGTTGAATATAACTTACGACCCGCCATTCTCAAGATAAGTAGGTTCATCAGGCTACTGGACAAACGTGATGTTAAATATCTTCTCGTAAATTTAGATTCCTTGTGCTCTTTGCTGTGAGAGAGGCACATGATATTTACCCTGGCGCATTCTCTTTTTCAGCTTTGGAAAAACTCCTAGCCAATTCTGCAGGGAAGTACTGCTTCGGAGATAACATTTCAATCGCTGACTGCTGTTTAATTCCTCAAGTCTACAATGCTCGCAGGTAAATATTCTGTTCATTTAAGCCCGTTACGACTATTCGAAACTACTTGCGCAGACAGTGGCAAATCTTGAGAGGTTGTAGCTCTATTTATTCTTTTTAAATGCATGTCAAACAATCGATTTTAATGTAAGCACAATTTATCAATTAGAATCAATATTTATATGGATTTAAACTGAAGAGAAACTGTGCTGCAGACTTACGCAAATCGCTACTTAGCGCGACTTCGGAGGGAGACTTGAGTGTTCTGAACAAAGCCATGAATATAGCAATGAGGAAATTGTATTATTGTATTTTTTTAGTAAGCTCAAATACATAGGATTGATATTCCCTTTAAAACGATTATACATGTACATCAATTACTCAAATCTCTCATAAAGAAGTCAACGAGTCGAGTCTTCATGTCCTACTTAATTTCATAAATGGTAAACTACTTAACGGTAATCATCAAAACCTGCCGTGAATTGTCTTCTATGTGCAAAAAATAATGTGGGAAGTTTTCAAGGAATGACGTGAAATCATTAAATAAATAAAATAGAAGCATAGACATTTTCAAACACCGCAAACGAGATACGTTGTTGCGGATTTATACTGTCAATTTGTGTAGCTATATACCATTGGGGTTGCATTTTGCAAAAAATAATCACAAGCATTGAAATGTCGCTAAGATTGTGCAACTTTTTTTACATACATACATTCGAGTCGCTTTACAGCGCGCCCGGGCGCTCTGCGACACCTAATCGCCATCCTTGCCTATCGATCCAGAGGTCATCTGGTAAATGGCATCTTATGATTTCATCTTGAATGCCACCTATCCACAATTTTTCTGGACTTGCTTTTTTGGATTTTGTGCAACTTTTTTTACCTTGCAAATATGAACTGATCATCTAAACCAGTTGTATCTTTACTCCCAAAAAACTATTAATTCAATACGAAAATTAACATCGTAAAAATCTTTTGCAAGGTTCCAGTGATTTTATTGCAAGGAATGTAAGTTGCACAATCTTAGCGACATTTGAATGCTCTTGATTCCTCCTCCTAAAATGGAATCCATTTTACAATCAACTTAATGTTCGACAGGTTTAAAGTGGACGTAGAGACATATCCAGCGATTGCAAGAATTGACAAGGATCTCCTCAGTCACCCAGCGTTCAAAGAAGCCCACCCTGACAACCAGCCTGACGCTGTCAAAGATGCTAAATAAAAGGCTTCAACACTTCGGCGATACCAAAGCCACCCTAACCTACGGAGTGTCAATGGACCACTAGACAAGGTGCGAATTTAAGCATTCTGATACGTGTATCTGAACCAAAATTTCACGTAGAACACAATTCGCGCAACGAAAATTACTGAAACCAACTCCTAACGGAGTTATTAACATTTCTATTTCACATTGGTTGCGAGGAATTTGAACTGCCCACTCACAAGAAACTGAAAGCTCTACGTGAGTCAAATCGCGCACTACAACGGTTTCAGCAAGCTTCTCAATCGAGCAATGTTCATTTCCCACCATGTATTTTTCAAACTATGAGTAATTTGCTATAGCTGAGCCAACGGGTTAAGGTTGAGGTTGCCAGATTTTTTTATGGCAGTAGTTCATGATAACGTTTAGCGCTCGATGTGAATCACGTAGAGCATTGAGTTTTCATGAGCGGGAGGTTTCAATTCACGCACCAAGAATCATTAAATATCTTTGTAAGGAGTTGATTTCGGTAATTTTCGTTGTGCGAATCGTGTTTTACATGAAATTCTGGTTATGAAACATGTATCAGATTGCTTAAATTCGTACCTTGTCTAGTGATCCATTCCGAAGTCCATTTTTACCAGCGTGATTATTTCAATACATCGATTGATCCGCCGTTTAAACCTACGGTAAAGGATCGATAAACTGGTTGTTCGCGACGAACAACTTACTATTCGAATCCTCATCGTAGCTTCAAACGAGAAAATGCCGATAGTCGATCATTCACGCCTCGCTGCTGGTTTTTACTTTTCAGGCTCAGTTGAAGAGAAGAAAATAATCCGAGAGGACGTGGAATTTGCTTTCTTTTCCCCCGTCGCGTTTTGTCTGTGATTTAATTTTGATTTCGTCAATATATTTCTGCTGATGCATTTTTTATTTAAACAATGAAAACTATATAGAATTACCGGCAATTTTTCATTTTTAAATTCCTAAACAAGCCCAGTGACATTACTGCGTTTCTTGCAAAATTTCACGTAGGATTAGTGGGTTAAATTAATCGTTTCCAACAAAAAGTAGTAAATACATCTCAATGTTGCAACATTTTCACCGGCCTGTTTTTAACTGAATTCTTCATGACTCATATTAAAACGCAAAATTTTGGACTAAAATTGCTTAATAACTATGCAATTTTGATGCGCGAGTTGGCACCGCCTCAATTCCTCTAAAACCCCCTGCCACCACCCTTTCTCTGAGCGTCCCCTTCGTCTCCTCCCAGGAAGAACCCAATCTAGCATCTTCTTCGGCAGCCTTTCTTCCGTCATCCTGTTAACATGACTACATCCGACAAGCTGGCTGAATTTATAATGATGCTAAAACTTCAGAAATAAGTACCTCAGTTTGAGGCTTGGTAGACTTCCTGTCATACCATTCTGTATCACTTCTTGAAAACTTTATTCCTTGTACGTATCATGTTCAGAATATTCCACGAAAATTGTAAGGCCACGATGTTGGCTCGGTCTCTTTGTAAAAAATAAAATACGATCGGAGATATTGACACACCTGAACCGAGATACATCATTTTTGCAGTGTCACCGTTGATGATACATCTCGCTTCTGTGATTGTTTTGTTAAACAACAACATTATAACAACATGTACACATTATACGACATGTTAACATGTTTTTTTCCTCAGATCCCGGCCACCACCATGTAGGGCTCAGGTTTTTCATTGTTTTTTTTTTTTTTTTTTTTTTTTTGTATTTCCGACTGAAAATGACTCCGTTTTGAGTCGAAACGTCTCGGTTTTTTTTTTTTTTTTTCTTTCTTTCTTTAAATTGTGTATTCTAGCCTTGTTTCCTATTTTCTCCCCTTGTTTTTCTACTGTAAAAAAAAAAAGTATTGGATTAAATTTAGTAAAAGCCCCATGCTCGGATGACAGCTGCCTAAAAGCTGAATATTTTTGCGAAATGCATAATATTAATTAATTATTACCCCAAACACCCCTTCTTAGTTGCCGCGAATCGTTCGATGCGAAGCTGAAGGTATGCATATTCCAGTTTCATTCTGTCTCATGCCTTACATTCTTCACTTAGAGAATCCTCCTTACAGCGCAGGGAGGAATGCAGGTAATCAAATCAAAATTAGCTCAACGAAGTTATTGGATGGTCTCAGGATTACGAGTCAACACTAACGACCGAATTCGAGTGGAATTTTGCAAGAAACACTTAGGTTTCCTTCCGATATGCGTTCCCAAGCTCATGAGAAGCTTTCGTAAATTAGTCTAGATTTTGCAATAAGGAACAACCATACCTGATTTCCCCACAAAACCACCCAACCGCAAAAGGAAACAATGACACACATTGATGACCAAAAAGCAAACTCTCGTACCTTCGTTTGCAATGTTACAGACTTCTTGTCATACTTATTTATTATACCGCTAATTGGTTGACCAGTAAACGTAATTGATTGAAAACTGCCAAAATATTCTGTATAAGTGTCAGGCTGTAGTGTTGGCTTGTTTCTCTTCAAAAAAATATAATAAAACAGGAAATTGTTAAACTCGCAGGCGAGAGACGTCGAGACGTGCTTTTGCACTTTCGTCATCGATATGATGTTTCCAAAATGAGCTAACTGTCATCAATTTTAGACGTTTAAACCTGGATTGAAACCTGTGCGTTTGCCAAATGACCCGATCGGCAAACCTAGGTCTGCCAATAACATGGTTCCTTTGGATTGAATTAATTTACACATGCGTTTTTATGGTATTAACACGTCTTTTTCAACAGAGGTGCGAAAAAACTTTATAAATTTCATGTACAAAAGAATGTCGATATTCGCTGCTATTTGCAGACGCCCTTTTCCATATCTCTGTTAAGTTTTCCTAACTATTTTCCGACCGTCGTGATTCTCGTAAAGACTCCGAGGATTATTTTTTCCCTCGTTTCTTTAAGAGTCACTGCACTAACGAGATCTATTTACAAGAAATGTATTGGAGAGAGAAATAACTAATGAGCTTTTTAATTGCTGGTAAAATGATCGTATTGTATCGAGGGCAACGCAACGCTAGGCCGGGTCAATCCGTGACGGGTAAAGACGGGTAAAAATTTCATGGGATTTCTCATCAGTGGCGAGGCGTGCTTTGCAATATATCGATGGATCTGTCATTTGAACCTATGGGAAAGAATCGATAAAAAGGATGTGCGCAACGAACACCTTAATAATCGATTCTTTACCTTTGCTTCAAATGGGAAAAAATCGAAAATTGATCATTCACGGCTCGCCACTAAACTCCACTGATAAACGCTATGCCCACAAGTATCCAATTTTCCTATAATTAGAGCTGCTCTATAGTCGCCAAAAAGCCAATCTCTGTCGATAAAATATACCAAAAAAACTGACAGCAAACATTTTCCCGGAAAACACGCCTCCCCCCCCCCTCCTTTAAAAGGCAATACCTCACTTTTTGTACCGTGTAATCATTACTATAAACTCTATGCTGCCTCGTCAAAGAAAAAGGGGTGTAAACATACGAATAGGAGCAAACCTCTCTCGATTAAATATCTGTTATGAGAGAGTATTTTTCCTCCAATTTTCGAAGTTCCTGGATTAATTACGAATAGAATTCGCTGAAAAGTTCGGGGAGAAAAACTCACGATAAAATTCAAGTTTTACCGGGGAAAAATTCGGCAACACCAGAATTCCTACGTGGTAGCATGACGCCCTAAATTTGTATTTTTCATCATACTTATATTTAATAAAATTTGTAAGATCCAAATCCATCTTTTTCGTCAAATATTGTGTAAGAGACGTTGAAATCTCTGTTTTCGATTTATTGACGAACCATGAAAGTAGTAGATCTTGGAGTTTTTCTGGATAAATTGCTCCGTGCCGTCCAAAAGGATGACTTTACGAAGGAAAAAATCAACAACGAGATCAAAGCAATATTGATAACACATTTTTCATCTATGAACAGAAGACTTATGTGCGGAACATGTGAGCTAGGTGACGCAATCCGATATGCGCATTGCCATTAAGGCGAGACTATCTTGGAGTCGCTCCGGTAAAACAATTCCCTAATTCACGGGGCAAATGATACTACCCGCGTTGCTTCCACCACCTATCAGCTGTCTTGATGGTGGTATCACAACGTCGTGACTTGTTGCAGGTTGCATAGTCACGGCTTGGCTTTCAGTCTCATATTTCATGGAGCATACACGCGCGTTCGAAGTCGCGTTATGTGCGAGATTGCCACTTCTCGTTCGAATTGCATTGTATTTTGTGCATCGCATTATATGCGATATAAGTGTAGGAAACAGATTCGAATGAAATTAGGAATGAGGATTGAGCCTAGGATGAACATTTACCTGCTTCTAATTAACAACGGCTAATTAGCGAGCGAGCATGTTTGTTATGTGCAGCGAGAAGCACGTTGAACAAACTAATACAAAACTATGAAACCGAGTACCTCGATTTGCGACTTTTAAGCTTAGCTTTTGCGCTTTATCAGCCGTTCACGATAAAACATAATGCTAAACATCTGATTATACGACCCTCGCACCCACTCGTAAGGATTTTGGGACGTACACTGAAAAAAAAATCTCGGTGTATTTACTAAGAAAAGGGTAAAATTACCAAGAATTCGGGGTTCTATTTGATCCCAGTTTTTTCTTGGTAAAATTACCATTTATGGAATTGGTAATTTTACCGAGAAATCTCGGTAAAATTGTTGAACTTTCTCGGTAATTTTACTGGACATTGGTAAAAACGCCAATATTTTTTATCGACTGTGGTAGAATTACCGAGATAAAATGGCAAAGTTACCGGGAATTGATTACCAATAAAAGTGGTATTCTTACCTGAAAAAAATAGTAAAAATACCAGTTTTAAGGTAAGCTTACCAGTCTGTCTTTGGTAAAATTACCAATAATTGGTAAAAAAAAAGTGAGATGGTAAAGGTACCAACGGACGTTGGTAAAAACGCCGAGAATTTTTCTTCAGTGTAGGTCCCTATCCTGCCGCATTCCTCCTTTGTAGATTACTAAGTGTTTTAGGAGGCAAAAGTTGTAATACATTTAAACGATCCAGGAATTTTTCGAAAAATAACAGCGTCGCAAAAAAAAATCAGTAACAG